AAACACACACACACACACACACACATTCGAACTTGTATTTTTAAGATAACTATTTTATTATTTATTGATTAGGATTGATAGATAAATTTATAGATGTTTTTTTTTTTATAAAGGTGGATATAATTTTGATATTATTTTATACATGCACAAAAAATATATGTTTGAAAACCAAAATATTTGAATAAATCATATAATTAAATTGGCAAATTTTGCTTGTCACACCCCCTTTTTGAGTTAGGTTCAAATTCAAAAATATTTTATGTAAATATTATTACTAGTAAAACCCCTTTCTGAGCTAGCTAGTTTCAAATTTCAAAATTCTATTTTATTCATCTTTTTTTTTTTTTTTTAAAAAAAAAAAGGTAAGTGAGAAGTCAGTAAAGTTGCAAGAACAGGTTCATTTTTCACCAAACGTATGCGTATGGGAAAATATTGGAGTTTAAATTTTGATTGTAGTGTGGGGTCATATGATAGAAGATACACTTTTTTTTTTTTCCCTATATATTTATATATGCAATCTTTGCCTTCTCTTTGGTTATTTAAAATAATAAGGAAATAACATTATGAGAGGTCCTTTTCAAAAGATGACTTGTATTAGAAAAAAGCCTGCTGTGCTGCTTATTTTACCATCTTTTGCACATTGCTGTTGTTGTGTGTTTTTGTATCCATTCCAACCATAACCACAGAGCAAGCATTCTATGTTTGAAAATTTTAGATGCCTTTTAGCTATGTATGTAGAGCCATAATAATTGCTGCTGCAGATTGAATCATGATTTTTATTCAGATGCCTTTCATAGACTTACATATCTTCTATCTTTAGGTTAAAAGTCCCATGTGTTGTCTTGTGCCAATAGCTACCTATTGTGTGTGTCAGATGCCAGTTTTGAATTCAATACTTCCAAAATTTCCAATTTGCGCAAAAGTGCTTTTTCTTCTTCACAGGATTGATGATTGCCTTTTATCCTTCATCTCTCTCTTTTTTTAGGTTTATTTTTTTTGTTTCTTAGGGCACCCGCAACGCCCCGTTAAAACGCTCAATTGACGTTCACTCGAATGTGGGCGTTCATTATTTGAGTGAGACCCTTGTAGCGTTCAAACGGCTGAACATTGGATTCATTTACTTTTTTTTTTTTTTTTTTTAATGAAATTGCTTAACTGTTTTGTTTTTCTTTTATATATTTAACATATTTTTTTATTTATATCACACTTCCCAATATTGCTAAATTCAGATTTTAATTATATCATAATTTTCAATATGTATCGAAAATTTATATTTTATATCCATCATTTTTTGCCTATAAAGACACCTCGTTTTTACACTTCCCATGCACCAAAAACCTCATTTTTACAACTAAAAAAATTATTTTTTTATAAATGTACTATTTTTTCTTGTGTAATCTTAATTTAAGTTATTTTGATTTTGTAGTGTTCTTTCATTTTCATGCATTTAAAATTTATTATTATAATTTAAAAATATTAAGTTTTATTTTTATTGAGAATAGAATATGAAATTTATATTGAATGAGTGGATAATGAGTCCCATTTATATATTTAGGCTATGTTTGGTAAAACTAGCTGATAAGCTAGCTTATAGCTTATATATGTAATTTTTGAGCTTATAGCTTATAGCTTATGACTTATAGTTGAAAAGCTAGCTTATATGATAAAAGATGTTTGGTAAATTAGCTGATAAGCTAGCTGAAATAAAAAATTCAACTAGCTTATTTGAAAAGCTAACTAAAGTAGCTTATGAAATAAGCTCGAACTTTTTAAAAAAGCTCGTCCTACCAAACGAGACATATTTTAAACAGAGAGCTTATAAGCTAACCAAATAAGCTATAAGTTAGTTTATTTGGCTTACCAAACATACCCTTAAATGAATGTGTAGGAATGTGGGTGTGTGTTTAAATGAAGAGAGATTTAGTGAAAAGATGATGTGGAGATGAGAGAGAGTGTTAGTTTTGATTGAGTGAATGAAATGTATGTTAAAGGGATGTGGATGCCCTTACTCTTACACTTAGAAATCATCATTCTTCAAAATGAAACAAGCATGACATGCATATATATATAAATATAATCCATCTCGCTGCTTCACACCAATGCTTCATCTAATGAAACAAACTTGCATCATTGTGCAGTTATATGTTTGGCCCACAAAATAAAAATTACATTCAAACAGTCCCTTTTGAACTTCAAAAACCACATCTTTTCGTCCACTCAAATGGGGCCACTTTCTCAACTGTCACGGGCCATGGTAATATCAGGTCCATTTCATTGTGGACGATAGTTAGTCTGAGTCAGCTATATATTTTTTTTTCCTCCTGAATTTTTCAAATTTAATGAGCCCATTGCCAAGAAATGCCAAAAACACTTGGTTTACCTGCATTCATTATTCAACAGATTTGGACGAGCGGGTGAAGACGCTGACTAGGAAGAAAACTCGTAAGGAAAACAGTCCCGACAGCTTTGCGGGCAGAGCCAACTCTTACTACCATGAGCGCCCTCAGCTTCTTGAACTACTTAATGACCTGTACAACAGTTACCTCTCTTTAGCCGACCGTTATTGCCAAGCACTAGCCACGAAGCAACACCGTGATAGCCGATGCTCGTCCCCACTCCCGAATCTGAAAATCGACCAAAATATTCAACCCGATGAAGGAGACCCTGGAGAAGTCATCGACTCTCCAAATGCCGAGAGTTCACTATCTTTCCAGTCCCCAGTGGCTGTTGTACCACAAGCAAGTGAAAAAATGAATGCTGATATGATCTTTGCAGACCTAGTTATGAAGATGGTCGAGTACGATATAGTTCTGAACGAGCTCAATGTGGTGGAGACGAGGTGGGGCGAGTCATCGAGAAAAATGGAGCTCCAGAAGAATTTGTTGGACGTGCTCGAGTCAGAAAGGCTCATCTTACTGAATGATAACGCGACCTTGGGGTATAGAGTGACAGTGCTGGAGGAAGAGAACAAGGGCCTGGCATCCGAGTCGTTGTTCTTGAAGAGAAAGGCTGCTGAGCTGGCGAGGTGCGTTCTGAAGGCAAGGGAGGATCACAGGGTCTGCATGCTGAGCCGGAAGATTGAGGATCTTCAGGGGCAGATTTACGGTTTGGAAAAGAGGAACAAGGAGTATTATGAGCAGCTCGTGATGAAACGGCAAGGGGAGGATTTGTCTTTGTCTTTGTCATTGTCTTCTAAGGGGAGGAGGAAGAAGGGTGGTGGGGGGGAGGTTGAGTTGGAGGACTGCTTTCGTGTTGGTGCTGGTGGTCTTGGCAAGTGCTTTAGCTTTCAGAAAAAAAAGGTTGGTGATCGGGACGAAAATGGCAGAATGAGGCTCTCTACCAGTAAGTTGTGGGATATGATCAAGAAATTTGATTTGCTCCATTGTGGCCCTCACTTTGATTCTACTGCTTCCTGAGAAGAAACAAATTCAACCCAAGCAATGCCAAGACTGAAAGAATCACAGTATTTGCTTATCTAAAATTAGCATATGCAATATTTTGCTGTAATCTGCTTTGTACAATTAACTTGCTTGAAACGATGGCGGATCTTTGTTAGCATCCAAGCAGGTTTCTGTTTGTATTATTAGCATCCTGATGAATAGGGTTGAAGCCTGTATAACGTAGCATCGACATTTTAAGTTGAGTTTGCAATGATTTAGCAATTACATTATGGATTTGTTGTAAAATTCATTCAAAACACTAGAATGAGATTAAGAAAAAAAAAAAAGGTGGCCATATATGCCATGTATGGATCTCTAGTTCGTAAACACAACATTCATGTTACATAGTAACAACATAGCTATAAACCAAGCAGTTGCATGTGCATTTCTATTGATCCTCATATTACGGGGCAAAAATTGTAAAGGTACTTTTTATACCAAGAAATTCGATTTATCCTAATGAGCAGTGCACGGGCTACAAACTGGCTGCTATTGGTATTAGATAACAATTATAAATGTAAAGGGAATGTTATGAAAACAAGAGCCAACTGAAGAAACACTATTAAAAGGGATGATAAAAACCTGCAATAGCAGCCAAGGAGATAACTCCACTTCTCAGTTCCTACGAACTGTCAAGCCGAAGGGCAATAAATAAAACACTTGTAAAACCCAGCTTATTGATCTGATGCCTAATTTATATAGCTATTGCAATCATGAGTAAACAAGAACAATATATTAAGTCCCAATGATATTGGAGCTTAGTATCTCTAATCTACTTTGTTTCCTTAGTGGTAACAAGATATTCCTGGTCACTGTTTTCCTTCTAGCATATATAATACTGATTCTTTCCTTTTCGAGGAGCTTTCTCTATCACAATGGGACTACAAATATCACAATTTGTTACCCTGTAACCTAGTGGATTCATAGATACACCAGTGACATAGCACAATATTGATTCTTTCCTTTACGAGGAGCTTTGTCTGCCGGAGTGCGGTTACAAATATCATAATTTGTTACGCTGAAACCTAGTGGATACACCAGTGACATGAATTTTACATGTTGCCTTGACAATATCTATTCACATCATATACTAACTTCACCGAAAAATGGTGCAGCCATTGCCTTATTAAAAGAACCAGTAGTGACTGCAATTGCTCAATCCAACCAACTCCAACAGACCTACGCCAAAGAAGAGCTCAAGACATGCTGGCAGGAGCTAGTTTCTCACGAAGCTTTGCAATCCGGGTCTGGAGAAGGAAAGAAAAAAGGTTACATTTTACGAATGTCAGAATGGTTATTCAACAGATAAATGTTGAAACTAAACTAGACCACCATACAACTCAAACACAATTTGTTACTACCTTGAATGATTTTGAACGGCGAATAGATGGATCTAAGTCCAAAGCAATTGAGAAGGATTCCTCAGCTCCATCAAATTGTTCCATGGCGAAAAATACATCACCCTCACAAAGATAAGCCTGCAAAATAAAATAGAATTTGATGACCGGCCAGATTGGCATTAAGTGATATGATATCACTTTGGTTGAAAGATGGAGAAATTATTATGTGCGTGCATTTATTTTGGTTTCAGGCAGACATCATACTGTTTAACAGTTCTGTGAAAGTAGAAGCATTCAGGCAGTGTGATGAAAACAATTAGCCCTTGCCTCAGGGTAGTGAGGTGCAAGGTTCATAGCCTCTTTAGAATCTTCAAGTGCTCCATTAATGTCTCCCATTGCCAATCTTGCTGCAGACCTATCCAGAAAATATATTATACAGCAGAGTTCATCACACATTTTCCACAAAGTCGATTAACGAAAGACTCTGCACTACTCATATAAGCACGAAACGAATATGATCTCCGTCAACCTGTCCTTGTACAGTATATGGAGACCCCCAAATGGTTTCAGATGGATAGCCTGCAAATCAGAACTCCAATAAACAAGATTTAAAATTGTGGTAGAAGGAATGTGTTAGCTCTATGGGGGTGCAAAGATAATGCATATATGTCAACGAGGCTTAGGGTTCTTCACTTGAACAATTCTACAACCTGGGAGAGTAAATCACAAGCCTTTGCAAAATCAGCTCGGCCCGCTTCATCTTCAGCTATCTTCCTCAAAGCCAATGCTTCCAAACACTTGGTGGCCACGTCTCCTTCGTCCTCAATCCCACAGACGGCCGCCATCACCTCAGCAGCCTTTCTGGGCGTCCCACAATGCCCCACGAGTACACCCTCCGGCAGGATTACGATATTGGGACCCGACCCGCAACGGGCGAGGCACCCACAGGATTTGACGGTGACGGACGGCGGGGATATGCCGGTAAGGAGTTGAAAAACGTCCAGAGACCCTTGCTTTCTGCATGTCCTATTTGTACACACTCTTATTTCGATTTTGTCCTTGATATTTTCTGAAGGCGGTAATGGAGATGACGAAGCTTTTGGCGGTGTACTGTTGGCCCGTATTGTATTTGTTGTACGATTACTTGAAAGGAGAAGCAAATGGGCACCGGAACTTGTTGAAGTAATAATCTCCATTGCTATAGCTACTGCGGCTTCTTAAAGAAAGTGTGGGTTGGTGATGACAGTTTGAAGCTTCAAAAAGCTGTGCGCACATTGAAGTGGGTTTGAGGAAATTAACAAGGTACGGTTTGGGACTGACAGTAGTTACGACGTCGTATCAAACAAAGCAGTAAAACCAGTGTTTTAAATACCTTACCGGTAATTATACCGGACGAGCCAACGGTAAACGGTTCAATTGGTTTTACCATCAATTTTACCGTATTAATAAATATTAAATTAATTTGTTATTACAATATAAATAATATACAAAAAAAACCAACTTTAATTAATACTAAAATTAATAACATCTAATAACAATGTAGACATATTAAAATGAAGTGTAAAACTTTCAATTTATATAAAAAAATAATAATTAAAATATATTAAATTTAAAAAATTGACATAAACCGGTATTTTGACCAATAAAACCCATATTTTTCGGTATTTTCTGGTATAAATCAATATTTTGTCAAAAACGATATTTAGAGTATAATTATACTGGTCGGACCACCGTATCCAGTATTACCCGGCCGGTACAGTATTTAAAACAGTAAAACCATGTAAAAAGTGGATAAAATCCTCCTCTTCCATTCCATTCCCTTTCCCATATTTAAATCCCTTCGTCCTCTCCTCTGCTTCCCACCAAACATATCCTTTTATAGATCACGAAGAAGAAAATTGACAAATTTGACATGCCCTAGTAGTCTCTGGAGCGGAGATAATCAATTGTAGACCGCAGGTGTGGAGCAGCGAGCGATCGTTTACAGCCGCGTTAACTGGTGGCGCCCTCCGACTTCGTAAATTCTCAGATCACCATAGCCTTCTAACCCTCGTATGTCCAATATAAGACGAGCCTCAAGAAGATGACGATGAAGAGGAAGAGCAACGAAACTTCGCTACAATTTGAGTTCTGCGACGTCTGTAGATTAAACCATAACCAGGGTCGCCGCCACAATTACTTCCCTACTCACAAAACTTCGCTTGCCACGCTCCTTACGCGCTTCCAGTCCAAGCTCACCCATGTCAAATCCTTCCTCAAAACCCCGACGCCTATCCGCCCCGACCTCGCGCACCAAAACCGCCTCTGGTGCATCTTCTGCAATTGCAACATTCCCGAGCTCGATAACCCATTCTCTTGGTCAGTAGCTTGCAAAATGTTTTTTAGTGTACAATTATTTCTATTCTTATTAATCTATAGTAACTCTTTTGAGGCTTTCAGTGGCAATGCGATCCAACATTTAGCAAGCGTAGAGCACTGGAAGAGACTTAAGAGTTTTATGTGGAAGTATGGAGGCGGGATGGATCGAGTTGATTTGTTTCGTATTTGTGAGGCGGATTATGCCAAGGTAATTCTGGTAATCACCATTTTTATCACTGCATAATCGTGTTTTGTACATCATTAGCTTTTCTTTGTTCGTGCTTGTGTGTTCCTAATGGGTTGAGGATGTGCTTATATGATTTCCATGTGTATCCAGACTTCCATGTTATAATATTTAGTATTCAGTGTACCTATGCAAAAGGAGAAAATTCTAAACATACCATAGTTTCTTTGTGGAGCAGGATTTGATTGTATTATAAAGATAATGATTAAACGATGAGAAAATTTGTGTATGACCTCTTGAAGCTGTAAGAAATTTGATATCATTTTATGCCAAACCCTACAAAAAAAAGAGTGTACCAGCAGACTTTTACTCTCTGGGATGAAACAAGTTATTGTCACTTTCACAGTTCTCGAGCTATTTGTTTTACTATTTTCAAATTGATATAGACAAGTATTTTAATTGCACCTGTTAATTTTTGTATGACTCCCTTCTTATCTCTGTCCTTGCAGTGGGAGAAAAAATGCAGAACATTGAAGACTGAAGCTGCAAAAGCAGAATCCATTGGACCAGTTGCCGGACCTCCGAAAAATATCCATAATGAACTGCATGCTGACTCTGTTAATAGTTTACAAAAAGTTGATATTGATTCTTGTGATTTTTTCATTTCAAATGGTGTTGTACCTTTACATAGCTATACGAATGAGAGGACTCAGACACTCTGTTCAGTGTCATCCATTCCAGATGTTGGTCCTTCTTCACGTACTATACCTGGAAGTATGCAAAGGCAACATGCACAGAACTCAAAAGGTTTCCTCTGAGACATACATATACATATATGTGTGTGTGTGTGTGTGTTCTTTATGGAATTATTTTATGTTTGATTGCATCCATAGCGTTTATAAGACACTGCAATAATTCATTTCCATAAATGCTTACTAGAGAACATGGATAATACACATTGCTCCACTTATCATGCTAGGGAGTGCTCATCGTATGGTGATCTCTGTGATGGAGCTGTAAGTTTACACTTTGGTACAACTTATTACACCATAACTTGTGTACCTTTTTGTTGCAATTGTTTTTCTGGTTACTGTTCGTCGCCATTCACTGGGACCAGAAGAGCTTTTTTGTCCTTTGTTACCAAAAGTGTTTTTCCTGAGCAGGTCAACTCAGGAGTAAGAGCAGCTAATGGAGAGAACACATCTTCTGGTAACTCTTTTCTTATTTTCTTCTTTTCATTCACCTCTTAAACAGTCATGTTAGTTTTTCATACATTTGAATAATAATATTGCTTGTAAGATTTCCAGTTCCAAGTTGTTTTCTTGTCCCAGAAGCTACAGTTTATTAATTTAGTTTGTCCTAGTTCGTGGGTCATTGTTTTCTTCTGTTCTTACATGCAAGATCGGATGAACTTGACGCGGATTTCTTCTACATCCAAAGAAGGCTTGGAAGAAAATGTTCACAGTGGAGCACCTCCACCTTGGTTTGATGCAACCAATGGTAATCAGCTAAATGATGTGCTGAAAACAGGAGAGAAAAATCTTTTTTCCCATAAAGATAGGAAATCCACAAAATTGAACCCGAAACGTATTGGAGCTGCTTGGGCGGAAAGAAGAAAAGTCGAGTTAGAGTTGGAAAAGAGAGGCGAGCTTGTTAAATACAGTTATGATGCCAATTGGCTTCCTAATTTTGGTCGAGTTTGGCAGTCCGGCCCAAGGAAAGAATCTAGAAAAGAGTTCCAGATGGAAAGTAAAGCATCCCCAAAAACGGACGAACCAACAGAGACGGTTGTGACATTACAGCCTTACATTGGGAAACGGAAGGTAAAGTCTCACATTTTTCATGTTGTATCCATTTTAACTGCACATGATGAGTGCAATATGTGCTTTTATTTCCTGAATTCTGTGTTTTAGGCACCTGTTGTGTTCTTTTCTTTTATTCTCTCTGTGTGTGTAACTCTAATTTCTTGATCATTTTTGTCCTGATTAGAAATTCCTCTACATGTGCATTTGCATACGTCTTAAAATCGACTGCATACTACTGTCAATTCTCGACTTACTCAAGTCAAATGTTTTCGTTGCAGCTTAGGGAGACAAGAGTTTGATGGTTTTTGTCAACACGAAGCTTCATGTCAAGTTATGATTTGAAGTATAGGTGAATTCCATTGGCAGTGATGGGTTTCATGCAATGTGTACATTTGGATCTCTTGTATGAGCTTGAATGGTATGGACTATTGGAGTTGTGTTAGGCATCAGTTCCGAATGCTGTTTTCCCGTACTTTGCTCGCTTATGTGTTGGAACAATCATTTAAAATCTCCCCACTAATAATCATTAAAAGAAAAAAAAAAAAAAGAAGATTCATAGTTTCCATAAAGTCGAACTAAGCATCAAGGATGTGAGAATACAAAGGAGAAGCAGAACACAGGCTTGGGCTGATATCTAAATTTTAATAATAGGTAACATACAAGTTGACTTAGTTTAGTTGGTAAAAGCAGCATCTGAATTGATAAATTTTTCAGACAGTAAGATTATCTTGAAAGCGGACAGGTACTTGCATGCATGGACTCAGCCCTATCTACAATTTCTGCTCGAATTCTTGACGAAGCTCGGCTCTAGATTTAGCAATCTCAACAAATATAACTCGGCCATCCAGAAACTGCTTACAACTTGCAAAAGAATCATGCATTAGTAGTATACTGTAGTAATAACTCCAGAATGAAGCCAAACAAGAACAGGGAATGACCAAAAAACAATAAAGCTTATAAAGAATTCAAAGCATGACGACTTAGAATAGAAGAGCCAGCAGCAGATCACACAGCATAACTGTCAACTATAGCTACAATATTATTAGAAAAAACGAAGAACGAAAAAGAAAAAGAAGAAAGAAGGCTCCGTTTAGATATGTCTATCTTTCAGAATCCCTGAAATCTTTCTTCTGCACCATAAGGAAATGCCTTTGAGTCTGAGAACAAAACGAAGCTTAAGCAAGGGATAGTATTCATTTACTGACCTTGCCATGCATTCCTTCAATAGCTTTCTTAGACTCTTCCTCTGTTGCGTAACTTAAGAACGCAAAGCCTCTCGGCCTATTTGCCGTTTTATCCATCACCAAGTTAACTACAACAACCATCAGCATGTATATGCTCATATTGGTATCAGGAAAAAACTCAGATTCCAGTAAATAAGAGGGCATTCAGAACCAAACAAGTAAATAAATGAATCAACTTTTTTATCAGTTTCTGTACCTTCCACAGGTTCACCAAAGTTCTTGAACGCATTTCTCAGGCTCTCCTCAGTGGTCCTAAATGAGAGCCCTGGAGACAAACACACCAATAATTGTTTTCAGATATAAAGCACATACATGTAATTTATGCCCATTTCACCCAACTACTACTGATCCAAAACAAAAAACGATTAATTGAGAAAATAGAATTACAGACAATTTAGCAGAGAGAGAGAGAGAGAGAGAGAGAGAGAGAGAGAGAGCTGACCGCTAACAAAAAGCCTTGTCGTTGGAGTGAATCGAGTTTTACGTGGAGAAGAAGAAGATGAAAGGGACGACGACACATCGTTGCGGGAGTTGAATCTTCTTCTTAGGGGAGTATAATTCTTGTGCGTGTATATCAGAGGTGAAGTCGAGGGGCGAAATTGAAGCAGTGCAAAGTTAACTAACGGCGGGGCCGGCGACGGAAGATGTCGTCCGGTTAGAAACCGTTGGGTAAGAATCCCATGGTTGGGGGCAGTGGTAGCCATCTTCTCCGGCTACTTTTTTTCAGAAGAAAAAATGTCAATTTATTAGGTGATTCATGCCTACGGATATTTGGCCATGGATTATATTTGTGGTTTTTCTTTTTTCACTCATATATTTATATATTATTCATAAACAGAAAAATATGAACATTATATGCAATTTGGCCTCGGTTCAAAGGTAAATTCTCAAAAAAAAAAAAAAAATCCCATATTTTTAATTAAGTGAAATCTTCAACTATATTCTATGATATCTCAAGTTAATCAAATATAATCAAGAATGAATCGTTATTATAGTCCCTTATTACTATGTACCGCCCCAATTAATTTTTTGCTCTCTCTCTCGCTCTGCCCTGCCAGTCGGTCTTCCACTGGCGGTACGTAATAATAAAGGGCGGCAAATAACACCACCCAAGTTATAATTCATTTTGTCGGACTGATCATACACTTCAAAAGTCCTAAATAATTAAATAAAAAAAATCACTATTAATGAGTGAAAAAATGTATATGGATTATATAATTTTAATATTTTGGAGCCGAATTATTAATTTCGTCTAGTTTAAATAACTTCAAAAATCTATGATAACATTTTAAAAGTAAATAAACAACACTCTGATATTTTTTTTAAAAAAAAAATGTAAAAATGATTGAACAGTGGTAAGTCAAGTTACCTATATAGGAAGGAAGAATTTGAAGGATTGATTAGGGTGATTACCTTTTCATGTTGCGCAAAGCATACGCCCTGTATTTGCCAAATAAATATGCATTCAAACTTGTCCCGCAACCAAGCAATTATTACCAAAAAAAAAAAAAAGATAAAACAAAAATGCACACAAGGCACAAATGAATTATCGAAGGTTACATCATTTAAAAGAATTTTTTTCCAAATGTAATCCATGTTTCCCAAAAATACCACCAAGAGCAGCACGACACTGACACATTACAAGTTTCTTTTAGCACTTGAAAAACTAGAGGCACCTCCTCACATATCCAAAAATGACAATAAAAGAAAAATAAAATAACTAAATATAAATCACCGAAGCTAGAATTCAGCTACAGTCATCAATATCAACTTATATTTAATCCTGACATTAGTTTTACCTCACTGTACAACTACAAGCAGAGTGGAACCATAACTTTAAGAAAGTTGCTCTTTGTCAGACAACGAGGCTGAAACTGATTTCAAGTCGTTGTCCTGTTCATCAGAGTTCACATTAGCTCCATCTTTCGAGTCCTCATTTTCGTCCGAGCCCAACACAGCAGTTTTCTCATAATGTGCAGGTGCATTTATTTCACCAGCCTGAGCATTAGCATCCGACATCACAGAAGCCTCGACAACCTTCACAGAGCTACCACCTTCTTTGCCAGAACCAATAAATTTGAGCCATGTAAACTGTAAATTGTGACCATGCCAGGATTTGCCGTGGGAAAATGCCTTCTCAGCATAATGGCGAGTCGTAAAGGAAACCCGAGCAGTAACATTAGGTGGTACTGGAGCATCTTTGGTGTCCTCTTGCTGTGACTCTTCAAGCTCCAAAGAAGACAGTTCGCCGTAAGCAGAGAAGTGCTCCTCCAGAGCAGCAACCTAATAGGCGAAAACATGAGTATGGATTTTCAAATGAATACCATATAAAGAGCATTTAATGATGTAAAGGATCTGACAAAAACTTCCCTCAAACATTGCCTCTTTATTAAAGAGAAAAAAATAAAAACAAAAAAGAAAGAAGGTTCTCTTTAAAGTTGCAAAATACCACAAGTGCAACATCAAGAAAGCAATTTTTCTATAAAATCAAATAGGGCTTTGTTACAGAACCCCGTTGGTGATATTTACAGTCTGTGGATTCCATGACCTACCGAATAACAAAACGAGCCATGCAAAACACAGATGGTTGACAATAAGCAATACGGCTCGCCAGGGGAATCTCTATCTGGTTTTATGAAGATACCACCATAGATAGAAGGAGGTATTACCCTCAAGGAGTGTTTGATATTTGAAAGGTAATAGGTTCCATTTCTAGAAAATGTTAAACTTATGGAATATGAAATTATTCCTAGAAATAACACTACAATGAAATGATACTTTAAAACAACAAACATAATTATCCAAAAATTAACTCAGAAAGAAAGTTACATTTGCGAGGCCAGCAGGCAATGGTGAAATTATTCTGAATGTTGTGGGCCGATTGTCCAGCTTGAATCTGTTTACTGTGAAAGGTTTCCCAGAGAGTGCTGGTGGCCGAAAGGCAGGTTTCAAAGGTTCCTGAGCAGGTACATTTGCACTTGAAGTGGATTTTTGCAACTCAACCGACCCAGATGAAGTGGAATTCTCTGGTTTTATGTTGTCACTAGCTGATGACTTAGAATTTTCAGCTTTAGCATCATTCGGTAGTGTTTCGCCTTTATGCCTTTTAGTATTCAGATCAATTATTGCGATATCTGCAGAACCTACAGACTGCAAAAGACCAACATTTGTGAGTGGAAAAGCCATAGATGTAAGGACAAGACGAAGTCCTTGAAACAGTAAAAACTGAATTGTGCTTTATGCCACTTTCTGACCTAAGGCAGAGACAACAGTGATTCAGATAAAAAAACAAAACTGTAAAGGAAAAACACTCATGCATATTAAAAATTAATCCATATAATAATCACTTTCACTTGGTCACACAATCGTGCTTCACTGGTTAACGAAAACTCACATCCAAAATTCACCCGGCCACTAACTCATAGTCTCATACAACAGACACCAAGCAAGGTAAAAACTCAAAATGCAATAAAGAAACACCTCAGTGAATAAAACGCCGGCATGTTGAAACACATGAAGTGAAGTTTTGCAGGAGTAACAGTTAGGACAAACAAACAATGAATTAATATCAAGATAATTCTAGCATACTCAAAGTGAAAAGATGTGGGAATTACTTGTTTCTCGAGTTTGTCCAACATATTCCGAAACTCGTTTCGTTTCTGGTCAAGCATCTCCTGCTTCTTCCGAAGTTCTTTTAATAGCTCAAAATTCTCCAACTTCTTTTGTTGTGGTGGAGGGGCTTTGGGGCTGGGTCCATTACCAACCATCGGCTTAGGGTGATTATGAACTGGCAGTTGAGTAACAGAAGCATGGGTGCTGCTCTCGTTGGCAGTTTTAACAAGAGGATTTTCTTGTCCTTTAGCAAGAACAAATGGACGGGAAGGGGCTCGATTAGTCAACCCACTAGTAATTACTGAAACAGGACCTCTACCACTTATCCTATCATCTGGGAGATTGTCTCGATTTGCCCACCAAAGCTTGATAAACCGATTACCCATCACTGCATCAGGTGCCTTCAAAGCTGCTTCTGCTTCTCCTCTTTTAGAAAACTGAACAAAAGCCCGTTCACTATTTGCAGGGGTATATATGTCAATTACCTCGCCAAATTTCTGAAAATGCGAAAGCAGAGCTTCCCGCCTATTGTCTTTCAGAGGAATGCCACTGACAAATACAGTACGAAGTGCTTTCTGAGACGGTCTTCGAATATTGTAGACAGGATCACTTTGTTGCTTGAGAGGTGATTCCTTGACCAGTGAATTATTCCCATCAACATTCATCTGCTTTCCCTGATTAGAAGCATCACTATTTAGTGCTTTAGCACTTTTGAAGTCTCGTTCAAGATAACTGGAGGATGTTCCAACAGAATCAAATTTTACCTTTCCTTCAGAATTACGTTTTAAATCACCTACTCTTCCCCATATAGATGAAATTTGAGGCCCAGAGGTGGTGGCATTTATTAAAGAAGGCTCTTCATTAAATCCTTCAATTGATTCAATATTTGGTTGATCGGATGATTCAACACCCAAGAAAGATTCTGTCCCGTCAGCAGTTGATTGATTCAAAGCATGGAGTGCTGCAGATGTTTCTGGGTCATTATTCGTCCATAAAGGTTGATCTGGATCATACACATCAGATGCTCCCGCTGTAGAACCTCCCAAAGCACCACCATTTGGTCCCAAAACATTTTCACTCATTCTGGTCTTGATATTTTTTGCATGAGAACTTTTATTATTTGTAGGCAAAGCTCCTTGCCCGGGAGATTTTCCTAGAAGCTGAGAGCCGGGAAGAGCAACAGGGAGATTGAACTGTGAAAGGCTCTGCAATTTACAGGAAAAAAAAAAAAGTTAATTTTAAACAGTTCTATATACATATGCAACAAGTCTGAGTGGAGAACTATTAATTAAATTGCAGTGTAATTATGACCATGGTTTCCCCATATGGATGCCAAAAGTCATGGCTTAAACCAGAAGATTGTCTATCCCTTCCCATGATCAGAGAAAAAAAAAATGACTTCTTGGAGAAGTTATTCGAACTAACAAACGAGCTTGGATTTAAATCGACATTCAAAAGATGTACACCCTTAAAAGCTTCAATGTAAACAAATATGATGTGACTTAAGAAAAATTTGTAAGTTGTATAGTTCGCAAACCTGAACATCATCAACAACAATACGATTAACTCCATGTTCCATTGGGCACATGTCCCCTCTTAGGCAAAAACCACGTTCTTCAAAATCTCTACATCGTTGCCTTGGAATTCCAAGGTTCATTGGAGGATTAATAGCTGGTCTAAGTGCACCTGGAAGACCTAAGGGGTGAATTGGGTCGAGCCCCCCATTTGGTATACCTGGAACCAATCCAAATGCATTCCAAGGAGTACTCGGTGTGTTGGAAACACTGGGAAAGCCCCTCCCAGCATACAAAGCAGGTGGAACATAACCAGGTTGAACAACTTGAGATGGAAGATCAACCAAACCAAGCCTTGAGTCATGTATGCCCCAAGAAATAGGCTCCCTTCCCCTGCACCTAACAAGCCCAACTTCACTTGGCAGTACTTGGTTTCCCCTAATTCTTTGTTGCAATTCTAGGGGAGATTTTGAGAACGGGGTCTTGTTCTGACGCCTCTTCTCAAACCTCGAGGGGAAGTCTCTATCTGAAGCACTATCATAGTTCCTCAAGGTTTCACCAGCTTGACGGTCACCATCCCTGTATGAAAAACCATTCTCAAAAGGCCTGTTCCTTTTCCTATACGGTCTAGTTAAACCCTGATCGAGAGAGTCCTCTACCAGAGAATGTGAACGTGCCTCCCGCCTACGGTGTTTGTGATTACGGTCATCATCCTCATCCTCACCTTCACTGATTTCTTTATCCTCGGGATCACTGGCTGCATCGGAAGATGAAAATCCTGGTTTTTCAGGAGAAACTTTGAGCTCCATGAAGTGCTTGCAAGAAACAATATATACAGGTTTGTCGAGACGTGTCGACTGTTCTAGCCTTCTAGCATATGTGTAATGGAATAAAATAAAGTTGCATAACCATTCTAAGATAGATCCAGAAGCGGAAGAACCCTGTCGATAACCAGGCGAGAATCGATACAAGAAACAGATTTTTGTTTGGAATTGATCACCTGGCATAAAATAACAGCATTAAATTTGTGAACTTCCCATAATTACGACGACCATGAGAACGAATTTATACACAAAATTAACTATGTCAGCATATTTCAAGAACAAAGGGACGGAAAGGAAATGACTAATTAACTGCCAAATAATGTGGTTTCTTGTTCATAAAAAAGAAAGGGCTACATTGTTATTAATCATTATGCAGGCAACTCAGTACTAGTTACCTCATGTAGATACAAGTGAGAGAATCTGAACAATAAATATAGAATTCGCTAGTAACTGTGAAGAAAAAGACGATTTCAATAGTATATCACACAACACAACCTTTTTCCATTTTACAATGCGCTTTCTAAAGAACCTCTTACTTATTCTAGTAGTTGTCACCATCATACCAGTTGAAATATGGTTTTCATATTTCTTCAGCTTAATCTACATAAGTATCCGACCGACCTTACCGAAATCCTCAATGCATTTGTTCCAGAATGGTTCACAGACCTCTAATCTTGACAGTAAATACAAGCACTCACAGGAGGTGCTAACTCTAAATACTTGATGGATTTTTATGGGTATGTGAAATTTCACAAGGACAAATTACTGAGTACAACTTCTATGAATATAAAATCATTTGTCTCAATAAAAGAGCAAAAAAATAAGAATGTGTTTTTTACTTGAGATAAAAACATCTACACACATCTAAATGTTAACATAGCTTCCAAACTCGGGTATGTTTCATCAATTGGACCAAAACTAATAAAGCCAACTAGACAACATATTTCAATCAAATTGTCATGTGCCGCTAGAAGTTGGAAATATCTTCTGTAAGAACTCCTAGATTTAATGAGAATGCTATCAACTTGGAGGTAGTGGCTTACTCCTCTCAGCTTATTCATGTTGCATTCCAACAAGGGATCAACAACTAAGTTAAGGATCTCAATATTTTATCAATCTGACACGTCTAAGTAATTATCTGATATTTTTCATTTCACATGTAGTCAATTAGCCTTTCACAACCAGCCAACTCACATTTTTCACTGCCAGAGTGCACTTATACATGAAACTCTCAGCAGAATGCTCAAGTAGAATTACACTAAATCCGGATAATCCATAAACAATCACAGAGACAACAGAGGCATGCTGAATTAGGCATCCCTACCATTCACAGACACACTCGTCCAGAACTTCACCAAATCCCTAAATTCAATTAATAATCAAAACAAACAACACTGCTGCTACAAACAAACAACCACAAAATCAATGCACATCTTCGAACACATATAAAAACCAGATGAAACCATAGGTGTAAACGGAATTGCTTAAATAACCAGGCAAAACCAATAGCACGTCGAAGCTCATGTGAAAAAATAACTCACGCACAAAAAAACCTAATTGAAAATTGAAAATGGAGATGCACCAGAAGCAAACCTGATAAATTGGTATTTCGCCGAGGTTTTGGTTCCTGCTCCTTCTTCTTCTTCTTCTTCTTCTTCTTCTTCTACTTGCAGATAAGCATCGCATACATCTCCATCGCCAATTAACACCAAACCAAAATTATTATCAAAATTATTCAGCGTTGAGCTGCTATTCTCTATGCTACATACGACAGCTTTCTCTCTCTACAATGGAGGATACCAAACAGCTGATGGGTTTTAAAATTGGGGAATTGGATACAAAAAATAGGAAAAATTGCGCTTTGAGAAATTTGAGAAAATGTGTGCAACGATAGGTACTGCAAGTCGGTGTTGGAGAATGTGTTTGCAGATTGGTGCTTGATCTTTTCTAGTATTACTGATTGGCCCCTCGTCTTGCGTTTTA